GTCGCTTACAGGCCCTAGATTCCCAGGCCCTGAAGAGGCCCACTCCCTCCCCCAGGAACATAAACTTCCATACCACTCTTAAAGGAGGCTGGGAGCAGGAATGAGAAACGGGTCCCTGATGTTGGGCCTGACCTGGTCCCAGGGTTTCTTCCTTGGGGGAACTAAGAACTGTTACAGGGCTAATAAGTTACATTTCTCTCATTGTTGGGACAAAATACCTAACACCCAAAGTTCAAGGAGGAAAGGTTTGTGTAGCTCACTGTTTGTAGGGGTTTCAGTCCATAATTAGCTGGCTCCGTGATAAGCTAGCTTGGCAGAAAACAGTCGTGGTGGGCAGAAAGTAGCAAAGTAACAGGCATATGACAAGCCTCTTTCTGTCCCTTAAATAGTATGCAGGCTACTTGCTCTAGGCAAGTGTAGCACTCACATCTTTAATCACAGCATTGGATCATAAACCAACCACAAACTCTAGATTCAACCACCTTTTAAAAGCCCAACCCCTTCATGACCGCATGAGGCTTTGGGGAGCCATCTAGAATTAACCATAAGGAGAGCATATAAAGAGAGAGGCCAGAGCCTGGTTTCCTGCTCGCAACTGATTTCTCTGGCAGTCTCAGAACCTTTTCCCCAAGGACTTTGGGCTTCCTAGTGCTTGAAGAGTGTTGACACTTCTCTGAAACCACATGGATGACCTGTGACACTACACAATTCTGAGTGTCCTCTCTCATGCGAGCTGCCAAGTGAGTTCCTGACGTGGGTCCTATGGGGCACGAGGATTGGAAAGTGTCCTGGTAGAAGAGAAGTGATATGCCCCACTTGAGTGGCCTGAGGAGTTTAGGACAGGGGCTTTTCTTAAAGGGGACAGAAGCTGAAGAGAACACAGAACAGCACAGTGGCCTTGGCTGTGGATGGTAGTCCTTACGGAGGACTAAGCAGGGAAGGAAAGGAATAGCCTTCAGCACCAGGACACAGGCAGGGTGGGTACAACAGGCTGCTGCCTTCCATGAGGGAGGCTGTCACCCCCTGTGACACCGTGGTGGTGAAGACAAGGTGATAACATAGCCATCAACTTGGCTGGCCCTTCCCCTGGCAGCAGGCCTTGATGGCTGAGCAGAACAGGAAGCCAGGGAACAAAGAGCTCTTTGACCCAGCAGTCCTTTGGTCTGAAAAGGAGGTCTGGACAGACAGATGGAGTTTATCTGCCACAGCATGGAAACCAGGAGAGTCATGGTGTCCAGGAGAGTCATGCAGATGACATGGCCCCCAGCCGCCTTTGGGGCTCTGATAGAAGCTCTTTATTTGTATTAACTTGTTTAATGCCCACAACAACACTTGGAGACAGATTTTCATTTTTCTTTTTTAGTACCATCCTATTTTGTTCATAAGGGCGCTGAGACCCAGGTAAATTAGGTATTTGCACCAGGTTGCCTATCCATGGACAGGCAATTTCTGGGTTCTACACCAAGGTTCCCCATCCTGGAGCCTGAGGTTGGAAGCATTACGCTGTACTGCTTCTGCCCTTGGTCTTGTCCCTTGCCAGGGAGCTGTTCCTGTGCCTTTTCCATGGGATGTTGTCTTTTCTATGAGTTCTACGCTGTGAAATACACTAAAGGCAAGACATACTCCCATACTAAAGCTGTGCTCCAAGCGGGATTGGTCACAACCCAGAACTTCCCTCAGGGATGAGTCTAGGGAGAAGTTGTCAGGCCAGAACAGAAGAGAGGAGCAGTTAGGTCACCTGACGGCAGCGATCTTCTGTGTATAGTGAAAGCAGCCTTCCAGCTCCCAATCCCAGAGACAGCTTGGGTCCCAGCCCTAGTCCTGCAGCCAGGGTGTGACACTCCCTAGATGCAGATCTCAGCTCTGTCACTTTGCAGCTGGTGATCTTGAACAGTCACTTGCCTCACTCTTCTCACTGGCAAATGGGGCAGATAGAACCTACCAAATGGGATGACTGTGAGGCTTAAAGTAGCCATGCACTCAGGGAATGGTGTCTCAGCCACCCCTGAACACATACACTGTAACGGTGCCATGGGTGATAATGGGTAATAACCGTGTGGCACATCTTCTCACCCTCTTATTTGTGATGAAGCTGGTGTAAAGATTCATCCATGGTACCATAAATGGTATAAAAGCATAGTATCCAGAACTCTGCCCAGAACACAGCACTTTATTATGACAATAAAGGACTATGTTATTGGGTTTTGTATTCACTGTACTGTACAGTGTACTCCTGTTTATTAAAAAAAGCTTACTATACAACAATACATCATGTTTTACCAGAAGTGGCCTCATCTGTCTTGTGTTTACCATGTCTCTTGCTTGCATCATGAGGCCTCATTGAGCGACTGACCTAGACCATCTAGATTTGTGTAAGTATAACACAGAAAATCACACAGCAATGCATTTCTCAGAAAGTATTTCTGCCATTAAGCAGTATGTATATATCCCTTGAACAGTCAGTAAAATGATGTAAGTGGTAGCTATTTTTTTCCTAGTATTCGTTGTTATTAGTAGCTAGATATCAGCTTCTCAACCCCAGGGCCACATTAAGGAGCCAGGTGGGGTGTTTTAACTGTAGCTAAGCTTGCATGTCCTTGCATGAGACTCAGTCAAGATCTCTGCGGTTAGCGAGGGAGCCTGGACACTGATGAGAGGTGAGTCTAGCATCCAAGAGATTCAGTGTAGCAAAGGTGGCGGGAGGAGCTAGAGTGCAGAGTTGCTTTCTTCTTTGGAATGAGAATATGGGAAGGAGTGTTGCAATCAAGGGCCCACTTTACCAAGACAGGAGGATGAATGCAGGAAGGTCAGAGGGCTCCTTTTGCAAAGACAGAAAGGGTGTAAACAACCAACAAAATTAAGATGCGCATATGCCATGCTGGAAGCATATGTTCATGTGCCGTGACTAGTGCTTCAGATAGGGCTGCAGGCATAGATGGCACGCAGGAAACACTAGGTTAGTGAAAGAATGAGTGAATGGATATGTGCCCTTTAAAGCATTTTCTTCCTAACTCACCGTTTCTGCATATTCTGTCAATTCTGAGTGCTCACAGCTGTTTAACAACATATCACAAATAAGCTGGCTTCCATAGGACATTTTTCTGGATGCTGGAGCCCAAGCTCACAGTATTGAGAGAGTATGTTCCTTCTGCAGATGATGAGGGAGAATCTGTCCATGTGCCTCTCCTAGCTTCAGTTGTCATGTGAATTTCTTGTTTTATAGATGGCCTTCTCCCTCTTCCCTCTTACATGGTTCTCTGTGTTCAAATATCCTTGTTTATAAGGGCACATTCATTCTGGATTGAGGACTACCCAGAAGATCACATCTCGGTCATCATATCCAGACTTGTTATAGTCTGGATATGTTTGAATGTGTCTCCAAAGTTCACGTGATGGAAGATGGGTCTCCAGGGTGGTGATGATGGGCGGTGGTAGAATGTTTAGACATGAGATCTTTTGGAAGGTGGTGAGGATACGGAGGTACCACGTGCAGAAGAGATTAATGTTGGTCTTGTGAAGAGAGTTAGTTCTCATGAGTGTGGGTTGCTGTAAATCGAGGAAATCTCAAGTGCTAGATTTCTTCTGCATGCCATCATTTCCATTTCTGCTTCTTTGCCAAACTGTGAAGAAGCAAGGGAGAGCTTTTCCCAGGACACATGCACAATGCTCTTGGACCTCCAGAATTGTGAGCTTGATCAGCCTTTTTTTTTTTAGCACAGTATCTAGCCTCTTGTATTTTGTTATAGCAACACAAAATGGAATAATATAATCTTTCTAAATAGGATTGTATTCACAAGTAATGAGGCTTAAGAACTTGATATTTTTAGGGAATACAATTTAACTCATAATTGTATTATAGTAAGAGCTTTGACATTTATTCCCTTCCTCTATTCCACTCTTTTGCATCTAATGAATGCCATGCTCTGGATGTTGGAAAACAAAGACACTGAGGGCTGGTTCCCTGGTATCCAGTAACTCACAGCCTAGAGAAGTAAAGCCATAAATAAACAGATCAGAAGGCATCGTGGGGCAGGGGACAGAATGCAGGGGGTAGGGGCTGCTGTCTTCTCAGAATGCTGTTCTGAAGCCTGCCTAAAAAAAGCCCTCGATGAATCTACTTGCATTTATTATCCGAGTGCACTGCCTTCAAGTTACCCAAGTATTTAGGAGAGGAACTTTTCTTTTTTTCTTCTGTTTTCTTCATTGACTTTTATTAGCATATGTTTGTGGTACATAATGATTGCATTCACTGTAGGGAATTGGTACATGTAATCAATTCCCCTCCCCATCTCCCATCTTATTTTATTTTTCCAGGATCAAATTAATTTATCTTATAGGACCTTATGAAGTTAATTAACATATAGATATTAAAAAGCAGACTAAAAGGCCATAGAGCATAGAAAACATAAAATACAAGTTAGGGCACTCTTTTAGATACATTGTCTGCATTGAATTGCAGTATTTTCTCTCTTTGCCTCTCTATTCCTATTATCTGCTTTTATTTTGCAAAGTATATATACGAGTTTTTCATATAAGGGAAATCATGTAATATTTAAGTTTCTGTGTCTGAGTTATTTCACTTAATATTATGATATCAAGTTGCATCCATTTTCCTACAAGTGACTCAAATTTATCCTTCTTTATTAGAGATCAAGGCTGTAAAAAATAACAGACTTCCAAATTACAAGCTAATAGTCCTAATAAAATCTTTGCAACAATTTTCTCAGTATGTGAACCTGAGGTTCAGATATCTCAAAATCTGTTTTTTTCACATTCTGATCTAGTTCATGGCTTATCCACAGGAAAGCACAGCTTCCCATGGCTGATTCTCCCCAGCCGTAGCTTCAGAGAGCAAGGTCTTCTCATCTGACTTGGCGCAAGGATTGTCTCCACCCAAGGGACTGGCCAAGTGAACTCCATTGGGGATGGTATTTAGTATTTCCCAGTTGGAAATGTGTCCATGTCGCTCCCGGCCGGCAGGAAAGACACACGACAAGGTCTGGCGGTGGTCAGGCTTTTCTTTATTCTCTCCTTATACAGTCTGCCCCGAAGCCTCTACCGGTCCGCTCTCCGCGGCTCCTTCCGTGCTTCAGTCTGCCCCGAAGCCTCTACCGGTCCGCTCCCCGCGGCTCCTTTTGTGCTTCAGTCTCCCCCGAAGCCTCTACCGGTCCACTCCCCGCGGCTCCTTCCGTGCTTCAGTCTCTCTCTCGGGGGTGGAGGCACTGGCTATATATAGGATTAATAGCTAGGCAGACTACCCTGTGAGGCGGGAACTTAGTGGGGTGATAAGAAACAGGTGCCACACAGGCGGGCTCGATGAGAGGGGTAATCTAGCTCAGGCTTTTGTACTTTCCCACAGGCCTCGCAATCACCGCGTCTGATGACTTGACAGTGCCACGGCTCCCAACATCTCCCCCTATTTTATTTTAAATGATGGCTACGCGCATCGCAGCCCGTCCTGGATAGAGTGCAGAGGCCTATGCCCCGAACTGAGGCCCACCGTAGGCCCTTAGCGTAGACCCTGGTCGGCCGTCCCAGGGTCCACCAAGGCCCTGAGGCCCTCGTCCTTTTTTCTAGGGCCAGGAATGAACCGGACGGAACCTGGTTGCACATAGGCATGCACTCATTTCTCTCCACGAATCCCCTCGGAGAGAAATTTAACAATCCAGCGGCTTTCGAGCGGAACGGGGTAGGGCCTGGCTTAGGTTGAGTCGTGCTGGGGAGGCACGCTCTTACCCGTCATTGACTCACCCACCCTGCTACATGTTGTTGTCTAGGGAGGAGAATGTGGGAAGCCTGTCACTTTTAAACGCGGTCGTAGGCCATGCGAGCGAGCCATGCGTATACAAGGGTAGCACATAGGGGAGCAAGCCGTTCCAGGCCCCCAAAAAGGGATTGTCCTGCAGTTCTTTTAGGGCTCATCTTGTTGTTGGGTCTGCGGTTGGCCTCTGGTGGAACAGGCCTGATCTTCAGTCGAGGGACTTGTCGCGTCAACCTCTCTGGGACCCACATTGGCTCTCGTCCCGATTCCTGCGGAAAGACACAAACCGCGCCTCGGCTTCCTCTTTTGTATCTCTGCCCTCCTTGACGGACCCTTCTCGGGAGCTTCCTCACTGTGCCTGTTCAAACACCTCGCGTACTTCTACAAGTTCTTGAGAGCTCCCCCCGTAACTACCCTCACTCTTTAGGCACGCGTGTATCATTTCCCACAATGGACGAGCAGAGACTGAAGCTCTACCCTCCCGTTCTGCTAGGGAAAGGTCTCTGCCCAACTTTTCCCAGGAGGGCAGGTTTACATGCCCTGTAGGCAGAAACCAGGGAGCAAAGCTGTCAATCTCTGCAAGGAAATTTTCTAAAGTCTTACGCCCCACCTTGAGGTCCTTGGACTTTAGGAGTCTCCGAAGGACCAACACCAAGGCTGTGTATCTTTACTTGGCATGTTTCCCATTTTTAATATATCTTCTGTTATTTTTACTTCTATGTTTATGTTTTACACTCTTTTATTACCTTAAGTTCTGGTGTTATGTTTCATACTCACCGCGTGAGGCCCAAGAAACCCGCCACTTACGCGTGAGGTTGAGAGGAGTCTACAAACCCTGTAGGTGCGCGCCACCCAGGGCCCAGGCTTATCCTCTACTCACCTGTCCTGCAGCTGCAGCACTGTGTAGGAGAATGCAGTCCACCGCCGCGTCTCGGGGTTGATCAATCCCCGTGCGGGCCACCAAATGTCGATGTCGCTCCCGGCCGGCAGGAAAGACACACGACAAGGTCTGGCGGTGGTCAGGCTTTTCTTTATTCTCTCCTTATACAGTCTGCCCCGAAGCCTCTACCGGTCCGCTCTCCGCGGCTCCTTCCGTGCTTCAGTCTCCCCCGAAGCCTCTACCGGTCCGCTCCCCGCGGCTCCTTCCGTGCTTCAGTCTCTCTCTCGGGGGTGGAGGCACTGGCTATATATAGGATTAATAGCTAGGCAGACTACCCTGTGAGGCGGGAACTTAGTGGGGTGATAAGAAACAGGTGCCACACAGGTGGGCTCGATGAGAGGGGTAATCTAGCTCAGGCTTTTGTACTTTCCCACAGGCCTCGCAATCACCGCGTCTGATGACTTGACAGTGCCACGGCTCCCAACAGAAATGTGTTTCTTGAGTTCTGTTTGCTAGCTGAGTAGGAAGTTTCTCTGGCTTTCCAGAATGGCTAATGGCACAGCTGGACTGATGCATTAATGGTGGGTATACATGCATGAGCATCTTTGAACATTTCTCCTTCCAGAACTGCTAGAAGAAATGCCAGCTCAACCCATGTTAGAGCTGCTGACATGAGTTTGGAGAAAATGTTCATTCCCAGGGTTGAGTGTCACTCCTGGTCCAGCCACAGTGCCAGCCTTAGGAGTAAACTGCTGGTTCTGGGGTTAGGACCACCAGTGCTGTGGCCATCTCTCTGTGAAGACTGCTCACTGACTCCCAAGGGTCCTGGCTTGCAGGCAGCCAGGGAAGCTTGCATTGCTTTAGATACACTGTCATTTCCTTTCCAATCCCCAATGTCATCAACTTTTCCAGTGGCCATGAACATGTTCCAGACAGATTTCACTCTTCTTGACCTCTTTACTTTGTTGATGAACAGTTTTCTGGGCTTCATCTGATTCAGCTCTTCATTCTCCAAACTCTCAACTTATTGCTGGCTTTGTGGAGTGGGAATTTCTGCCTTAAGATCCAGTGGGTCTGACAAAAATGCAAGCAGATAGTCACAGTAAAAGCATATCAATAATTCAAATAAATGCCATAAAACAAAAAACTCAGTGTGATGAGATTCTATGATAAGGAACATATAACCAGGAATATTGATAAAAGGAGAGTACCATAGATGTTGCCACACTAACAACACACTGCTAGGCAATTACTAAAAAGAGCAGTTGCCTCTAGTGATAGGAGAGAGGATTGAAATAGACTCTGTGGCCAGCAGGGGTGCTGGTACAGCAGGAGGGAGCTTTATGTAGTTTGCTGCAGCCAGGGAAGAGCACCTCAGAGGATCCACCGGAAAGTGACATTGTGGAGGTGCCAAAGTAGTGTGGGAGAATTTTTTAGAAAATTTGAGTTTGACTCGGATGTTTCTAAAGTAGGAAAAATGTATTAGATTCCTGAGAATCTAACAAGGGCAATTCAGTGATTGGGTGTTTTAATGCATTCTCTCTAAAAATAAAAAATAGCCATAGTCATTCACATCTGCCAAAGAAAAGAGTGTTCAGTGAGGTATTGGCTTTGGCTTTGGCTTATTTGGGACACAGATGCAGCAGGGCCACAACACGAGGGCTCAGTTTATATTCTGTGACCATCAAGCAGTTAGATGCTCAGATAGGAACACAATGGTCTTGCTGGAAGCAGAGCCAGGTTTTGCTTTCTCATTGAGATTGTGGAGGGGAAAGCCTACTTTTAAATTTTTGGAAAAGTGCACATGCCTGCACACACACACACACACACAAACACACACACGTATATATACAAGTATGAGGTGCATATATGACAGAAATTAAATAAATGATTTATTAATAATGTTTTCTTATTACTGACAGGTTTGTGGCATTTTTAAAATCTAGAAATTTCTTGTAAAAACAAATACGTCTCAATTCTTCCAGAAATAAATGGGGGATCTATCAGGTTTGGGCTTAAATCAATTTCTCTTCTGAAGCAAAATATACTAGGGTTTTTTTTGGAAAGGCAAGCATTAACATTTCCCAATTAATGCTTTCTGATATTTGGAATTTTAAAATCCTATTGTGATTGTCCTGATTTAAACTGCTAGTAAAATAAATAAATAAATGAAATAAATTGCGAGTAATCTTTAAAGAATTATCCATCAGTAAGGAAAACAGAGCTGAGTTCAAGGGTAAAGCTGAGTTCATGTGGTTAAAAGCCTCTCTGGACCCAGCTACCCTGATTTGCAGTTGGTGCATGAGAAAGAGCTGAGTATGGGGATGTGCCCCTGGCAGAGGAATTTAGGAAGACTAGCACAGGGTGGAGGCCCAGCACCAGCGGGAAGGATCTGATTAGCCATCAGATTAGCCTCGCTGCAGCAGCCCACTGCCCACAGGGTTGTGTGCCACTAGTGTTCAACTCTGTCACTTTGTGGCAATTACAGAAGCAGCACTCTTGCTGCTTTGTGTGACCCTTGTATGTGGACGATGAAAACTTTCCACTTGTTTCTCTTCATGGTGTCTGTTATGGATTAAGAACTGGTGGTCAACTTAATGCCAGCTGGATCACATCAGCATGGCACTGAGCGTAGATGATCCACCTGAGGAAAGTTGCCAGCATAAATAGGTGGAGAAGGAGAAGGAGGTTGTTGAGGCGTTGAGGTGTTAATGCATTATTGCATTGCATTATGGGTTCCCCTACGAGTTGTAAGCCATTAAGTTCTCTTGAGGAGCTTTGGTTCTCCCATTGAGCATTGCTTTCTGGCTCTGGAGGGGAAGACATGTGCCTCTTGGTCTCCAGGATGAACTCGTCACGCTGGCTTCCTGACACATACCCGACTGTGCTTGTTGTTGGAGGAGCTCGGGGCCTCCGTGTTGCTGAGGATGGCTGTGGTGTCTTTCAGGACAGCCCTGGTCTTTGTTGTGAGTGTGACTTCTCGGCTCCAGTGTAGAACCCTCATCTCACCAGCACAGCTCCTTCACCCCGCTGGCATGAACTTTCCGGCCTTCACCACTGACCTTTGGGCCTTCCTGGCACAGATCCGTGAAAGAGACTGGCGTGAGTCCTTCTTGTGGGCTCTGGACCTCCAGTTGGACTCATGGGAGGCATTGTCATGAGCTCTGGGTTTTCATCTGGACTCATGTGGGACATTGCTGTGGGATTCAGGCCCTTGACTAAATATTCTATGTCTTTGGTGTTGTGGATAGATTTCCTGCATTTTCTTGTGTTAACTCCCGGTGACATATAAAAGTGTTTTAAACTCCATGTCCTGACTCTAATTGTTCTCTGTGCACAACCCCTGACTACAACAGTGTCTTATTATCTCATCTCTGCAACATCCTTGTTCATTTGTGTGTCTGCCAGTTTTCTCCACTAGAATCCAGGTTCCATGTTTGTCTTGATGGCCAAATGCCCAATGTGTGAAACAGTGCCTGCCACACCACAGAGACTATTTGTTGAGTGAATATAAACTCCACTACACCTTTCGCAACAGGCAATGACTCAGTGGTTGTGAGAAGGGTGGCCACTGTACCGTGCCTGATGAGGGAATTTGGAGATCGCTCCAGTTTTGTCTTTTGTTCTGTCAGACTGTTTTGAGCCTCCAACTTCTCTTCTTTAAAAAGTGAGTAATAAGCTAACCACACAGGATACACATTTACCCTTATTGGAAGATAAATCAATGTTTCTGTATTTGTGAAACTGAAGGGGAGGAGTGAGCGAGCCAGCAGCTTTCAGAAGCTCGGAGGAAGAGAAAAACCACAGAAAAGTATATTTCTTTTTAACTTGCATGGGCATGAAACCAAGAAGTTCTGTCTTGGCCCCACCTTCTTGGGAGGTGGGTATGTTTAATGCCAGAAGATAACTCAGGGGATGGAGGGAAGCACAGAGCTGAAAGTCTCTGATGAGCACAGTCAGGAAGGCTGTGGTACCAAGTGGACATAAGGACAAGGGAGCCAGTGGCTGACACAGCGCCGGCCTAGGATGAAGGCCCAGCAGCAACCCTGCGAAGCCAGAGATATTCAGAATCCTGACAGGGCTTCTGCAGGTTCCCCACATTTCAAATCTTCCTCTGTTCTAGGCTCAACTTCTAGGGTAGAACCAGCTCTTCCTTCCTAAGGGCTCTTGGTCAGTTTTGCTCAGACACTGGTGACTGCCCTTACCTGCTTGTATTTTCAATGCTCAATTTTGCCTTCCCACTAGACGCTGACTCTTAGAACATACCCATGCTCACTTTTCTATTTATGTCCCCTGACAAAATGAGGCAAGACTCATTAACCAGCGCTTACATTGGTGATGACCCAAAAGTCAGTGACAGCTGTAGTCTGTTTGGTTAGAATTGCTTATTCTCAAGGGACCTTTTTCACTGATTCAGAGAGCCAGGCAGGAGTCATCTATTTTGATCTTTGTGCCTCCAGCTCTGAGTGCAGAGTCAGAGAAATCCATAATAAGATAATAAAAGAAGCACAAAGGTGCCTAGTGGAATTCTCATTTTCTTGTGCATTCTATGGGTGGACACACATTGCCCATAAAACCTGCCTCTATAACCTATCTGAAAGGATGCGTGTCTGGGATTTGTTGCTGCTGGGCATGGTGGCTTGTACATCAGCTGCAGCTTCGAGGGGGCTGATGCAGGAGGATCATTTGAGCCTAGGAATTCAAGGCTCCCTGGATAAGGCAGTGTGATGTGGTAGAGTGATGATCTGCTGAGCTCCCATAATAATGTAGAGTAGCTCATCTAATCTTCACAGCTTTCTTTTGAATTAAGGGAGGGGGTAACTGAAACTCAAAGAGATGGAGAACTAGGATCTGAACAAAGGTCCAGAGTAGACCAATGCTAGACACTTGTGTCTGTCTTGATCAACCAAAGGGCAGGTATAAACTTTTACATCCAGGATTGTAGCAGGATCAAATTCAGCCACAAATCCAGTAACAATAGCATGAATGATCTGTGCTGCTCTAATGCCCAAGGAAGAACGCTGCTCATGCCCTCAGCAGGAGCCAAAGCTTCTCAAGATTCCAAGATTCTCAAGTGTGCAGCGGCAGGCGTTTGGGTGACTTGTGGGCCATTTGCCCAGTAGGAAACCATTGGTTGTCCTGCCAAGATGCACAGCCTCCAGGGGCCTCTAATCATCATCTGATGATTGGCAGAGCTGCTGGGACCCAGACCAGCAGGCCATATTTTCCTTGTGAGCTTGTGAGGGAGCTGGAGGGTGCTGGTCACAGTGGCACACCCTTGGGCCACATGCATAGGTAGTCTTAGGGGTCATGGAAAAGTCAGAAAAAAACCCTAGCCTCACCCAACCTTGATTTTGAGAACATCCCCTCTGTCACCTCCCAGCAGCAACTCCTCAAATCCCAGAATCTCCAGTTCTTAAGGCCCCGGTTTCAGCTTTTCCTTTGCTCCTGGGAATTTTCATAAAACCCTGATAGAG